AGACTATTACTGAGTTATATACTTTTCTGTTTGCAGTCATATAGCATATACTCCTATGGGCTAAATTTAGAAAGCCAATCAGTCAGTTGCACAAAAATTATTGTGAACTACATGGAAATAATGGAAATACTGCACTGATCACAAATAACAACGGGTCTGAGCTTTCTCTAAATCACACACTGATTAAACTACCAACACAGAGACACACATATTTCACTGAGCTAAGCCTTTCTGGCTTTTGAGAGCCTGCTGACATGTCACCAGGTTTCTGATCCAAACACCAAGCAGTTACATAGCACAAGCTGAGCTAATTCCCACAGTGAGAAAGACAGATTTTGCACCAATCACCTATAAATTTCCTACAGCCTCCTCTCCAATAGCCAACTTTGGGAGCAGCAATTTTGTGATGCTGTACCAGTGAAGGCTTTTTGGCATTTGGCATTAGGGCACTAAAAGTAATGACGCTATAAAATGCTTTATAAAAAGTCATTATCGGTTTTTATTGATCAATTAATTTTATATGGATTTCAGTAAAAAGAAAAAAATCAAATAAGCATTTGATGCAGCCACCCTTTGCCTTTAAGAGGTACTCATACTCATTTTATTTATTTATTTTATGAAGGGATTTGGCAGGTAAACTGTTCTAATCACCTTGAAGAACTTGCCACAGTTCTTCAGTGGATTTATGCCATCTCGAATGCCTCCGTCTCTTTATGGCATCCAGACTGAATCCAAGATGTTGAGATCAAGGCTCTGTGGGGGTCATACCATCTGCTGCAGTGCTCCTTGTTACAAGCCGCAACAGCATGGTTGGTATTGTTCTCAGCTTGTGACTATGAGTGTGTGTGTGTGTGTGTGTGTGTATATAAGTGTGAGTATCATCATTACGTAAAGCGGTCCAGGAGACACAACTACTACTAAAGGTGGTTTTACTTTGTCTTAATGTGTCTTTCTGGGTAGTAATCAATATCAAAATGAAGACAAAGTTTAACCCATTATTTACTAATTTATTTATATTTATTTTGTACTTTAGTTTTTACATTTGGCTGTAAAATGAAAGAAATCATTCCGGAACTTTCAGGAAGCATTTGTGTACATTGTAAAATCTTGACACAGCTGATTTTTTTCCTGTCCGTGTTCAGACAGCATTATCTTGTGAATGCAACCATGATTCACCTCATATCCCCAGAAAGCTAGTCTTTGCTTCTTCTGGTAAATTAAGGGTTAAAAGTGAATGTAGTCCAAAAGTTTAAACTTTTAACCAAGACAATAATACTGACACTGTTGTGTGTTTATCAAGCTGCAGAATGAATTTGGGAATGATGGGATGTCTGCATGATGGTGCTGTGTTACAGATAAGAACGCAAGACATGAGTGTGTGCGTGTGTGTGCGTGTGTTTGGAACATCAAGGAAAGTTAGTCGAATATTTTTTTTCTCTGTTTTTGAATGTTTGTTAGAAAATTGCAAAGTACTTCAAACCGCATTTACATGAAATTGTGCCATGCAATTAAGCCTGAACTTGAACCATAATAGCTGCAGTATGTGGGCTGCGATGTGATTTGAGCAGATGCATGTCAAGTTCGTGCAAGGCCTTGCATCCACCTTGCGACAGCTCTGACTCAGGATATACAGATAAGAGAGCATCAGCAGGAAAAATGAGATTCAAAAAAAAAAAAATAAATAAATAAATAATAAATACTTGAATGCTAAATGCAAACTTGCACACCCACGCGCAACATTTTTGCTTTGCTGTACTGTCTCTCTGATAAAGAAAGACATCAGACGCAGGCAAAGAGGGAGATTTAATCTAGGCGAGTTTGGTAAACACTCAAACACACACAACCACACGCACACAGACACAGACACATGTACATACACACACAGAGCGTCCAGAGGGAGTACCAGTCAAACAGCATGTGTTAGTGCAGTCAACAACATTTGCTGGCTGCCTGCCTGTGTGGCAGATACTACTGGCAATGGGCCTCATAGGCTAAAGCTGGCAGTTATTAGCTACAATTTAGAGGACAGCTCATATTATGTACTCCAAGGGGACTTGTAACTGTAGTACCTGCTATATAGAATAGCTTTCATAGCTCTCATGTTGCTGTTGGAAAGGAAGCTCGTATCATCAAATATGAGTGATTTCAGGAATGAAAAGGAACTAATTTACTTGGAGGCTGCCGTTCAATTAGTCTTTTAAATTTTTCTGTTTGTTGCCTATTCCAGTTGCAATTAGCATAAATTATGTTTCTTTAAGCAACAATCAAGGACAATAAAGTAACTATAAAGTGGAACTGTATGAAGAAATGTAATGGCAGGGAAATGGGAGGCAAGCTTTCTATTTGTTCAGACAATGAACACCCAGACAGGCTGTGAAACAAAGCAAGCGGGCTGGGAAACGCAATTTAACAGCGTCGCGTGAGGAAAACAATGTTTTTCAACTGAGAAAAAAAAAAAGAAAGAAATTATTTGTATTCGAAAAGGATAAAAGAAAGAAATTATGAAATGAATGACATTCATTATAATGAAGATAAAAACAAAGACAATTAGAAAAAGGTAAAAAGTTTGGACACACGTACCGAATGTGTCCAAACTTTTTATTATTATTTTATCTTCCAGTTTTTGTACAGAGCTTTTTAGTTACCAGACCTGCTGTGAATACATGTTTTTGTGCAGCTAAAAGTATAACCTTTTCTGTGGTGGCGGTCAACCTTTCCCAGTGTGCAGTTAAGCAGGTGGAAAATTAAGTCACGTACGTTTTTCATGAGCAGGCGGAGTTTGTCAATGTCGCTGAGCTGCTGAAAATCTTTAAGAGTCAGACCCAGTTCACATGATGTCTCATACACAAGTGTTTCCATGGTGACCAAGTCATCGCATAATCGCTCCAGCCCGGGGATTTCCCGCTCCTTCCCAAGACGCACCAGCGACAGGGCGCAGTCCACCTGAGACAAGAAACAAAGAAAACCAAATGAAAAACACGCTTGAAAACAGGTTAGAGGCTGACTACATGAATTCTACTTAAAAGTACATTGAAGAAGAAAAATAAAAGACAAGATCAGTGGTCAACATCACACTTTCACTAACTCCTTAGTGTCTCCTATACTTGGACATTTTAAGGAAAGAGCACTATCAGTGAGATATTAAACACACTGTTACTGTGCCTCAGATTGGGTACTTTCATACTTCCATAATATCTTCAGTGCATGCATTCGTTCACACTGTGTATCACAAGTACACAGATGGTGTTGTGATAAAAGACCTGATAAAGGTCAAACGGTCGAGTGTGAAACAATGCACTGTACACTCAGTGGCTGCCGTTTTGGCAACGTGGGAGAAAGAACGAACGAATTTCCAGCCAGCTGTACAAAGATCTGTTGTCTCAGGCCTTTAGCTTACATGATAAAGAGCATATCAGCACTTCCATTGTTTAACAAAAGAAACGCGTTCATAAACCACCAACAGCATAATTGTCAACAGTGATGAAAAATTTGCCACGCATACTTTGGGGCAACACCACCCTCTCACAGGAACAGGTTGAATAGGTTAGTTATAGGGGTCGCTACTCTGGAGCCAGTGGAGTTGGTTCAGGCATCTGACTTGGAGTAGGTATGTCCTACCGGGAGGAGATCCCAATACACGCTATTGAGATTACATCTCTCACCTGGCTGGAGAGCACATTGGTACCCCGTGTCTGCTTAGACTGCAGACTCCGCAACTTGAATGGCAATAAAATGTGTCAACAGAGAGCATGTTATGTAATTTATGGAACACTTTAATAGTTTCATGTTTACTCTTGACTCTAGGGGCATCTATAGAAATGAAATCAAGCTAATCTTGGTTTCACACGCCCAAAGAATATGTTCAAGGACTGTGCAGGCTCTTTGAGATGTTCTCTTGCAAAGTCTGACCCGCATTTCCTCTTCTTCTGTGCAACCAGTGGTTTTCGCCTTGTTTTAAAGCCTCTGTGCTTCTATTGATGAAGGTGTGTTAAACTCCTTGAATTAAAGCTAAAAATCTTCAATCACTTATGGATTGCCAATTAACATCCATTGTGTTGGTGTACAGAAACAAAACTAAAAAACTCATTATTGTTTGAATACTTATGGGCCAAACTGTGTATACACACACACGCACACACTAACCCAGCCTCTTAACTAAGACACTTGGGCAGAAGGCAAATAAAAAGCCTGTTTGCAGCAATGTTCGTTCAATAAAAATTGTTGCCGAGATAACTGGACTGGGACGTGGAAAAAACAACATCCCGTCCAATCCAAAAGCAAATAATAGCTGTCAGTCATTACTAATATCCAATCATTAGACCTTCAGCAATAAAACATTGAGGTTTTGGACTTCCTGCTGCTCCTAATCGATACAATTCCATCCAGAAGAGCAACCAATCAATATGCAACCAGCTATATGCCGGCAATACGCCCAGCCAATTGATGCTCGGCCACCTGTGGATGTTAGCCAATCAATAGCAGATGCTGCTGGGTCCTGCGGTGATGATTGCCTTTTCTACACCTTTTAGAGACAGCGCACACGTCCTTGCTGCATCTTTCCTACACAAAGGCACAAGTGCCCACAGGCACACACAAACACAGATACACAATCAATGCAATCTTGTCGTCTTCAGCTTATCTCAACACACATTACTTATTGTTGAATAAATAACTGCATGTCTTCATTTGCAAAAAGTATCCCCACAAACACACACACATCCAACCCAAAACCCAAATCACCTTGACTCAGAGTCTGAGCAATTAGATACAACGAGAGGGGGAAGTCTATTGATCTAACTGTGAGTGAAGATCCTCCTCGTTCTTTCCGCTCCTCCCTGCTCTCCAGAGATAGATTCCCCAGCTAACCACAGACAATTCAGATGTTGAAATCTCACACTTTTTAATTACGACCTCATCTCCATCCCCTCCCCTCGTCTTTCTGTAACACGACCCTCTCTCTTTGTGCTCTCCCCCCCTCGCCACAACGGCAGAATTCACTGTAATAGTCCAACTCAATTTGATGCGTCTTTGTCTCTCACCCTCGTCCTATCACACTCCTTTCTTTCAAACGCAATTTTTACATTTTCTCATCAGCTCTGCTCAATTTTAATCCCATTCCCTTCCCTCCCACCTCTTCGAAGTAACAGTCACCACACTAGCCTCCATTTGAACTCCCAGCCTGCCCCTTTGCCTTTTCTGTATGCCAGCCTCCCAGCGCTCTGTCTTGTTTTCAAAGCCACCCTCTCATTTTGTGCCATTTCGTTGCCAGCACAACAACCACTTGGTTTTAATATCCTTTATTCCTACCCTTTTACCCCCTTATAACTGGTGATTTTCTTCCCCACAGACAGCTCTTTCCATGAGATTGCTTTCCCTTTTTATCTCCACACCTATCTGTGCTGCCCTCTCCTCTTTCTGTGTTTGTAATACACTAACCTAACAAGGGCTGTTGCATCGGCCCAGCATTTATCTCCTCTTTCGGCTGCACTTCCATTCTCTGCTTGTCCATGCCCGTGTCTCTCTCTGAGTCATCTTGTCAATCTTCCCATCAGTGTCTCGCCTCCTGCCACTTTGTGACTGGTTTAGAACACTCCAGCTTCCTCTGATGTGGCTCCTTTTAATCAAGCCCCATTTTACTCCATTAAAATGCTCTCCCAAGCATAAACAGGGCCAGATGACGAATGAGAGGAGGGTGCCAATAAGAGAGAACAAACAAGACGAAACGTAAAAAAGGGCAGGGAGAAGGGGTGGCTGTGGTGTGGGGGGGCACTCAGCAAATGGCAGCAGAGATTTTCTGATGTATTTCTGTGTCACTGCTGCTCGTGTGGAGAAAAAACTAAATGTGTGAAATAACCAGAGACGTGAGAGTTCGGGACAGTCCAAAGAGACTCCTGGAGTAAGATGTGATAGAGCAAATGAAGATGAGGTCTAATTAAAAATGAACAAGGGAGAGAATGAAAGAGGGAATTGGTGTGATTCCCTGAGACTAACAAAGGCCTCCTTTTACACATGCACTCGAATCTCTCCCTTTCCTTCTCTCTTGAGTGGATGATGAAAGGCGCGATTTCCCAGTTGTCTTCAAAAAATGAGCAATGGACCCAAAAATCTCTATTTCGCCAGCCTCTTTACAGCAAGTGGAAGGGATAAAACGGAGAAATGAAGGGGAAAGATATGACTGCACCCTAGTTAGTCCTTTCACAAAGACAAAGAGAGTGCTGTGACAACCTTGATCCATCACTCTGATGGAGGTAAAGAGGGGACGGAGCTGCAGCGTGGATAGTGTGGGTGGAGAGATCGGGCCGCTCTAGCGTTTACGTCCCATTACTCCACTAAACAAGTCCTATCAAGTCTTATTTTTCACTTGCAGCATCAGAACGCGGATGACATAAGCTTCGGGTTCTCTTCATTAGAAGTCCATATGGCAAATATGATAATAACTGTCACAGATCAGATCAAAGTGACCTTGACTGATGGAGACAGGCAACACACCCTCTGCAGTCTGAATCCCAGCTTGTCATATTTTTCTGCCCTCATCATCTAAAAGAAGTGTGCGAAACCAATTGTCTTTTCAATAGCCAGATGTCTATTAATTCCTTTCTGCCGCTGCCCAGCTGTAAGATCCAATCGAGCAGAAGGAACGTTAACAGTCTGCGTAAAAGGTTTCCCCTAACAGAAGAACTATGACCAGTTGGAAATGATTTGCATCGGTAATAAGGGATGAACAAACTAATTGAAAAGTTGCGAGGTCACCTGATCATTTTAGTCTCTAAAACAGCTTGAATGCTTGAGGGTTAAGGTTGAGATTACAAATAAAGGCTTTGTAAGGCCATGAGAGGTCAGCGGGAAAACATTTATTGCTATTACAGTCTGCAAGGTCAGGTAAAAATTCTGCTGTCATAGGAAGGGTAAGATGCAATCTTTCATTAAATTTTGCTTCCAGGTCAAAGTAAGAAATTCTTGCCATGTTTTAAAGTGCTCTGGAGCAACAGTTCTTGGCATTTTTGTTTTTTACTGATTTTCAATCCAGTCCTTGTACTCGACTATTTTCAGAAGAATGTTTTTGTCTGTTAAGCCACTGAACACTGACCTTTGAATCATTCAACCATAAAAAAGACACCTAGCTCAAGCAATGAATGTTGTGTCTACACATAACAGACAACTTTGTGTATATACAAAAATTGTATTATTGGGCATATTTTGACTAGTGGAAAGAAAGAATGGTATGACAGCAAGAGGTCTAATGGAGTTTCCTTTTGTTCCACCATACAATACCATTTAGAAAGCATTAACAATGGATTCATTTTTCAGCATGACAATGAACACAAATACACTCCCAATCCAGTAAAGCATATGTGGATAGAAAAACATAAAAAGGAACGTTAACAGTCACGGATTGGCCTCCCCAGAGCTGAGCTCGGACCTCAACATCATCTCGACAGAGAACAAAAGGCAGCCAACATCCAAAGAAGATTTTTGAATGTTCAAGAAGCCTGGGGAATTATTCCTGAAGACTACTTAGTAAAAGAAATTAAAAGAAAGCTTGCTGAAGGCAGTGCAGGCTATGCTGAAGAAAAATTGGTAAGAATACCAAATATTGACTTTCAGGCTCATTAGAATTGTTGAATTCTAATGAGTTTTGCCAAATTTCCTAGAAAAATGTGAAAGAAATGAGGGGTGGCTCAACACTTTTGCATAGTAAAACAAACATATAGTGACTCACTGTAAGCTACAAGCGGATACACAGAATGTTTGTACCTGTCTGGAGCAAGAGTCAATATCCTGGGCTCTGCTAATGTACCAATCAGTAAGCAGCTCTATGGAGGGCGTGGCTGTGCGGAATCTCAGCAGGTCTGAGGCTTCGTCATACAGGAAAATGTCATCGTCAAACAAATTCTGCTCCAGCACCGCTCTTAAAAAGAAAAAGACATGGATGAAGAGTTGTGCTCCCTTGCATTTTCACTTTATTCCTTTAATAATTTTTAGCTAATCAGCTAGAGCGGGAACAGTTAATGAGAGAAAAAGGACTTTTATTTTGGCGATAATTCATAATTATGCGTTTATCAAAAGAAAAAAAAATCTTACAAACAGATTAAAACAATGCACTGATACAATTCTTTTTTTATGGAGCCAAAAGTCAAAGCCTTACTCCTGTGCCATAAACCTATTTTGTTACCCAAAAACATAGCAGAGAGGATCGTGCTGCTCTGAATAATCACAAAAGCAACTGATCCTCTGCTGAAAATGTTCCCCTAAAAATGTACGATTTATCTACTACCTACAGTGCCCTGCTGCTTTAGGAAATTACTTGTTTGTTTGCTTGTTTTTTCTCCCTTTTTTAAATGAAAGTAACACATTGGTGAACCAGATGCACGGGGAGGGATGCCCAAATATTAGAATTTAAAAACAGTCTAACATTGTAGGATTTTTGATAAGAAAAACACAGAACATCACCTGACTCAATGGTAAAGGAGTTGAGCAAAGAGAGGGGAGAGAGATAAGGAGGGAAACAGAAGCTGGAAGAGCACAGATATAACAAAGCCACACAAAAAAACACTGCCTTAAACCTAGTCGCCAGGAATGTTGCTCCAATCACATTATCAAACATTCATCCTGTAATTTCTGGCCAAATATACCACAGTGTGCGACTGCTGTTATGACTCCCAACAGACGAGCAACAAAAAAATAAAAAATAAAATTGTAAATGAAGCCCGGCCTCCCTACAGAAGCAGGCAAATGGCATATTGGCAGTGCAACAAGATTTGGTATTAGTTGGTTATGGCTGTGTTAACATTTGGATAATAGGATGTCATGTTTTGTTTCACAAAATGATGCCAGCACAAGCATCTGTCCTGTCTGGAGCATGAATTTTAACAATTCTACACTGCGAGGGGCTTTGTTATCCCGGACACGGGCTGAGTTAATTATGACCCGTTACGTCACATTTGTTTAACTGTTGGCTTTAATAATACTTTATGCACAGAGCTAGAAATCAGTACATTCGCCTCAGGGGTGATGTAACCTGTTTACCTGCACTCCTCTGCCTCACACCAGTCCATCTCTCTGTGTCTCTGCTCGTCCCACGGAATCAACACCAGCTCACCTCTGTCATCCAGACTGTAAATGAAAGAAAATGAAAAAAGCAAGATATACGAGAGGACAGAAGGAGAAAGACAGCAAGAGAGAGGGGTCAGTTTTTAGGAAAAAGCACACCAATAGCAATACACCGCAACATGCGACATCTACCCGCCCAGGCATAATGGGACCTTATAAATCAGCAAAGGCATTTACTGTCTCAAAGTAAACATAGCCATAAACTACAGCAAAACTAGAGAGCAAGCAACATATGGGAAATGGAAAGAGCAGAGTATAATAAGAAAAAGAAATGGGAGGAGGCAAAAAAACAAAATCACAACAATAAACAAGTCAAAGAACTTCTGAAGAGAGTCTGAATCGTGCCTCAGCTGTAAATAGCGGGGAGTTTTATTTTCTAAACGTCACGTTGGTCCCAAGCTTTACTTCTTCCTGGTCTCCTTGAGTGTGACAGGTCTAAGGAAGATAAATAGGGGACACGCAAAAAAAAAGAAAGCCAAAGTGAAGAATGACTCTGTAGCTTCACGTGTCAGCGTTGACAGGACTCCGACGCTTGGACACAGTCGCCGTAACGACTCGAATGCTAAGACGCCGGGCTGAACAAAAGCAGTTTTGCTTTGGGTTTGTTTCTTTTCTCTGCTAGGATTAATGCATGGCTTCTTGTTATCTATTTGTTTGTGGACAGAAAAATATGTAGTGTGGCTGTAAAACTCAAGGAGATAGCGTGGGCTACAAATCATCTACAGCTTTGGTGCAGTTAAAGGCCGAGCGCGCACACACGCTGCAGCAGTTTTTAGCACGGTCATAAATTCTCTCCAATCACAAAATACATAAGAAGCAAGCAGCAGCTCTGATTTATGTCAACACTCCAAAGCAGGAGGGTTTTTCACCAACACTCCAGCGCCAGTTCATTGATTAAGCTTGGAACTTCAACACTGGGATAACAGAGATCGAGAAGTCCCGCATAAAATCAGCCTCATTCACTGTGGGGTTTTTTTTTAATGACATTCCCTAACTCCCAGGTGCTCTTTCCTCATTAAAGACAGCCTAGTTAGAGAGTGGAAAGTAAATATCGGCGTGAGCGGCCAGATATCGATAGGAGGAATGAATTATTCTGTGCCTGCATCCCTGATCTACTTCGCATCAGAGAGGCAGGGGAGCAGGATTGAAAACAGGAGATGCAGAGCAAACCTGGAGCTGGAGTTTATTTTTGGTTTCCACAGAGATGACCCTTTGAAGCTACAGGCAAAGACTCCATTAAAAAAATACATGCAGTATTCTCCAAGTCTACAGGTCCCTTCACAGACCTAATCAATATTACAGGAGAGTATTATCCCCCCCCCCCTTTTCCAATGAAGCAAGTTCAGTATATAGGGAGTAAGCACCAAACAGATGGCTTGAGCTGGCTCCGTCTGCTGCAGTGTGGGAGCGAGCGCTGTTGGAGCAGCATTTGGTGCTCACAAGCTGGGGAAAATAGGAAACTGCCCCACAGCGGCAGAGCCATGATGGATGCTCACTGCAGAGCCACAAGCACCTGACCTCCATACAAACTCAGTCGCGCCTAATAAAAGGGAGCTGTATTGTAGTGTGCGTATGTGGAAACTATATTAAAAATTATATCTATATCTGTAGGGGGTTTTTTAAGGTGATGAATTTGCCACCCCCAAATACATGGTTTCTTTATAAAGCAGTGGCAGAAAGAATATATCTGTAAAATCCTGTTTCTACAAATGATATGCTCATTTTGAATGTAATGCCAGTTTCAAACAGGGCGGGACAGGACCATGTTTACAACAGCGTTGCATCACATTCCTTTAACACTGTGTTTGGCTGCTCAAAATTTATTTTCCTTGGTTCTTTTCCATATCAAAAGTTCACTCTGTGACAGGTTTGGGCTGCAGGCATCCTGCAGACTCCTTCTGCTACAGCTGGATTATATGCTGGATGCTGTCTGGTATCGTCTTGCTGAAATAAGCAAGACCTTCACTGAAACTTTTCTCCAAAACTTTATCGATTAGCATTAACCATGTCCCCCGGGGATGTGCAGATTTCCCCCAGTTGCAGACCATCGCATGGCCAAGCTGGAAGGTTTTGGATTATTTTCAAAAACAAAAAATCCACCTTTGTTAATATTAGATGAGCTGAATATCAGCACTTGAGAATATATTGCAGGATGGTCTTTGCATGGCTGAGTTTGAACCTTTTTTTTGGATGCAGCGGGCAAATAATTTCTGGAAGTGTTTCTGAGTCTGTGCAGTTCTTTTTACCACAAAAAGCAGGTCCTTTTTTTTTTACGTAGGGGCACCCGAGGGCCCAAAGGTGATGGCAAAATTGGTTTTCAGCCTTGTCTTCATTTTCAGAGATTTCTCTGGTGTCTCTTGATCCTTTAATGATCAGACATACGTAGATGATGAAATCCTCAAATTTCTTTCAATTTTACACCAAAGAATATGAGCTCTTTGAACTGCTGAACTATCTGACCATGTAATCTTCCAAAGAGTGGGGTGAACCCCAACTCCCACCTTTATTTCTGAATGATTTTGCCTCTTCTTCTTGCCAACTTGTTGACAACTGAG